TACACTTCAAAAAGAATTAGGGCTAGGCGGGCCATAGTAATTGAGTACATCTCATGCCCAACAATTGGTTTCTATAAGCTAGATACAAGAGAGAGGAGAGTTAGGAATAAGAGAAGGATATGATTATATGTGGCTAATTTCCCCTTATGCTATGAGACCAGAAAAACTGGATGGTGTCCAGCTACCATTACCATTATGATTTTTCTTGAGAATTGTTGATCAAAAGGGGAAAATGCAAAACAGAATTCCAAGTTCCCATGGAATCCAGAATTTCGAGAGCCATGGAAGGTACACAAATCCCTGAACCTAGTATCCCAAGATAAAATGTAAACATTAAACCACAAATATCCCGTCTTCTGAAAACCAAATCAAAGTTGAGCTAACTAGCACAGACTGTGTGTCAAGCATTATGTTCCACTTTGAAGATCTATCTATAAGGGTCACATTGACAACAGCAACTCAAACGATGAGAGAGGAACCCAGGGGCCGTGGGTTTATGATAATGGAGGAGGCACGACTCAGAAAGGAGTGTGAGATGGTTATAGTACTTGAAGAGTGTACCCATCATTGACGGGCACATGTAGAAATTGTTGAATTGATTTGATTTGTCGTATATATTCTCAACAACAAAAACCAAAAAGAACCTTCTCAACTGACCTCAACTACTTAAGTCAATAAACAATTAAAACCATGCTTACTTTTCCCCTTTTCATAGTTTCACACACAATCCTTTATAAGTTTTAAATGTTATTTAGTGTAAATAAGACCTACATGCACCTCTTCTGTTTTATTTACAAAATGTGAATTACTACTTACCCAAGTCCTAACCTTGGAGTCATCTTTCTAAGAAATGAAGACGAGTCAGTTAAACAGCTAGAGAGAAGAGAAAGAAGCTAGCATTTATAGGATTCCTATTATGTACCCAGAGCTCTCGGGACGCTGTCAGACAAGGGTAGCCCTGCTAACCTCAAGGTTGGCAGCTCAAACGCATCAGCTCCGCTTAAAGTTCACCATTTTCATACCACATTTCAGGGAGAACGATGAGGTGATCGCACCCATATAGATTGATGACCTTGAAAACCCACTGTGAGGTGGAATGGGTTTGCTGGCAGTGTGTGTAGGCACTGTGCTGGCATAGGAGGTGGGTATTTTTCTCTTTCACAAGAGGAGAAAAAGCTTTAAAGTTCTCAAATATAGCCAATCCCTTTCCAATCTAACAGTTGAGACTTTCATCACTTTTTGTTTTTAAGTCATTTTATTGGGGCTCATACAACTCTTATCACAATCCATCCATTGTGTCAAGCACATTTGTTGCCATCATCATTCTCAAAACATTTGCGTTCTACTTGAGCCCTTGGTATCAGCTCATTTCCCCCCCTCCTTCCCCCCTTCCCTCCCTCATGAACCCTTGATAATTTATAATTATTTTTTCATGTCTTACATTGACCAATGAGACTTTCATCACTTTACATTCACAGTATTGCTAGTCTCCTCTACTCCAAGTCTGCTCTGTATAAAATACTGACAGATCAATCTTAGAAACAATTCCATTTCTATCACATCAACTCCCTGCTGAGGGCACGGAAAACCTTGTGTTCCTGTATTTGCCCATGGCCTGATCCAGAACTCAGCAAATATGTGTTACTTAAAACCACCCATGCTTCCCACCAGGCCAGGTTGTGGTGAGCCCTGGAGTCATAAGCACTAGCACATTTTAGTGCTATTTCAGGTTTGGTTCCAGAGACTATAGCAACACAGCCAGTCAAGCATGGTTCTCGTATTATTTCCCACTGAGTATTAAAGTTGTTTGCCCAATACTGTAGGCGCCCTGGTGTTGCAGTGGTTATGCATTGGGCTACTAACCCCAAGGTCAGCAGTTTGAAACCACCAGCTGCTCCCATGAAGAGTTACAGTCTTAGAAACCCACGTGGGGCAGTTGTTCAGAATCAGCTTGGTGGCGGTGAGTTTGCGTAGTCGGGTAAAACATGCAACAGCCCTATGAAAAAGCTTGAACTACCGTGAGGGTTACTAACATACAACCCAAGTAAAAATGGCATCGATCAACTTGCTCCACACAGGCCTGCCACAAACCTGGACACTTTGATTTGTTTAAAAAAAAAAATACAGTATCTTCAAAATGCAAGAAAGTGAGGTACCATGAAATGTGGTATGAAGATGGTGAATTTTAAGGCAGGGTGTTGAATATGTAGAACACATGTGAAAAGCCAAAGACATTTCTAAAGCTTCAAGATTAAGTGGAATTTCTCTAATACTTTTCACAATTTGGGCCCCACCTAACCCCACTCTTTTCTGAGGAGTGATTGCTGCTATTGTGTGCCATTGGGTGGATTCCAACACAGCAATCCTCCAAGAGAGAGTAGAACTGCCCCTCAGAGTTCCCAAGCTATAATCTTTAGCGATGCAGACTGCCAGTCTTCTCCCTGGGCGCAGATGATGGGGTTTGAACCTGAGATTAGAATGCCTGCGATCTAACCCCGACTTCTCTCTCGGGGATTCAGTTCCCTCTATACAAGTTCCAGGTGGCCTCTGCTCAAGTTCTTTCACATTCCTCGACTAATCAAATGTAAGCAACTCCCCTCACAGGTCAGCTGGAATCTCATCCCTGGCAAATCCTTATTGGATGCGCTCAATCCATCCCTCCACTTATTTTATTTACCAAAGTTCTCTAGTAAAAAGTGTCAGAATCATTCATTGTAACGTTTTAATTTAACAATTATTGTGCTGCCGTGCAGTGCATGAATTACTTGATCGGACTCTGCTAGCCATCATCTTTGTAATTCTGGACAGGAATAGGCATCTGTGAGGTATCCATGGTCCACCAAGGTGACTGAAAGCTCTAGTATGGTGGGACTAGGCAAATGGGGTACATGGAACTCTAGAGTAGGAATTGGTCAGTTTTCCCGTCCACAAGGTTTAAAATGGGCCATCTCAGAAGCAGAGGTGGGGTGGGGTGGGGTGGGGTGGGGTGTCTCACTACTGTCAAGAAAGAAGAGAGTCAGGAGTGAAGCATATCCTTTGACCCTGAGAATCCTGCCCTCAGAATGTCCTCAATCCAGGAGACAGCACTGTGACATCCATAATCAACACATTCTCTTACCTCACAGTAATCATCTTACATGACTGTCCCACACCAGTAACTTGTCATTTAGGGATGGCAAGGGTCTCACTGCCCATGGCCCCAGTGGTCACCAGTAGCACAACACTAATATCAACATTACTACCTCCGTTTACTGGATACTCAACACATGCCAAGCACAGTGCTAAGTGTTGTTGTTGTTAACTGCCATCAAGTAGGTTCCAATCCACAGCGACGCTACAGATCACACAAGCAAACACTACCCGGTCCTGCACCATCCTCACAATTGTTCCTGTGCCTGAACCCATGGTTGTAGCCACTGTGTCAATCCATCTTGTGGAGGGCCTCTCTACTTTACCAAGCATGACAGCCTCCAGCAACCGGTCTCTCCTGGCATGTCCAAAATATGTAAGAAGTCTTGTCATCCCTGCTAAAGTGATCCATTTTTATTCCCTTTACTCCTTTTAGATCTCTTTACCCCATTTCAGATCAGAGATCTTATCCAAAGCGACGAAACTTGAGAGGATGGGGGTGAAGGCTGGGAGTGGGTAGTCAAACTCAGCTATGTCTACTGCGAAAGCCCACACTTAAATTAACTAGTCAATACCAGGAAGTTAAATCTTCTCTCCTAAAGGTAAGCTGTTAACAACAGCCAAAACTGCTACTTCGATGGTGACTTACAAAATAACCCATTCCTAATAAAGTGATTAAGACTCAAGTCTTGACATAAAGTCACTCATTCATTCTCAATGGAACTCTACCAGATAGTATTATTATTGCCAATTTTCAAATGAACAGGTACACAAAAAGTTAAATAACTTGTCTAGGGCATACAGTTACAAAGTAACAAATTGGCAGGTGAAGCGGTAACTGTGATCAATTATTTCATTCACTAATTAATTCCATAATTCTTACTCTATCCACTCTTTCAGGGGCTGGGAATACAGCATGGAATAAACCAGAAAACATCCCTGCTCTCTTGGTGTTTACAATCTTATTTTCAAATTGGTTCGTTCGAGGTACAATCCTAAATCCTCTCAAGTATCCTAAATTCCAGACACCAAAGTTTCATCTGTCTCCTGAGTGAAATTCCCAACTGTGACCATGATGAAACACTTAGCAGTGTGACTCTGGGGCAAATCCCTTCTCCCTTAACTTCCAATTGCACGACCTGTAAAAATATTGACTTATGCACTAAGTTGTGCATCCAGCACCGTCCATGCTAAATAAATGAGTCGGCCTCCCTCCACGCCCCCCTCCCTTTGTGACTTTATTATCTGTGTCCTCACTGAGCACATGTTAAGACAACCGGGGGCTACATGAAGGGCTGGAAAGAGACCAACCTTTCACTTTCTGGACAGTTACCATTCTGGACTACCATCACCAAGTCTCCAATTTTCGCCCCGCCAAGCTATTCTGATGCCGAATAACCAGGTTACAAGTCGGAAATGACAGACTCGCGTCAGGGCCTGGCAGTGTCTATAAAACGCTCCCGATGACCTTTAGAAGCCACTTTTGTCTCAAGGGGAGCGGGGGTGTCCAGTGGCCATCAGGCTCCGCGGCGAGATGTGTGGCACGGAGTAGGGCAATCAAGAGACTTGACACAAGGCTGTGCCCGGCAGACCGTTCTCCACTGGAAACTCTCCTGCCACCTGCCAACCCGACGACCAGCCCCTTCGGGCTGCAACTCCAACCCGACCTACCCGGGGCGTCTGCCCCGGCTCCCCCAGCCCCGGTCCCCGGCCGCCCGGAGGGCTCCCGCGCGGCGTCGGGCCTGGGGGGTCCAGAGGAGGCCGAGCCGAAGGCCGCAGCGCGCGGGATCGGACGGCCTGACCTCCTCTGGGTCGTTTCCGAGTCTGGAGCAGCTGAGCACAGCCGGTCCTCACAGGGGCCAGGCCCTTACCTATCTTCACAACCGCATCGGCCAAGCACCGGTCCCACTTCCTGCCGAGCTCCGAATCCGACATGTTCCCCACCGGCAGCTCCAGCTCTCGGGACGGCCGGCCCCCGCGCGCTGCCTCCAGCCAAGTATCGCGAGAGCCGGCCGCCGTGCCTAGGCCTTGTGGGGCCGGCGCCGCGCGGCAGATATCGCGAGATGACCTAGCCGCTGCCGTAGTTTCCGTTTCTCGCCCTCGGTCGTCAAGGTGACGGCCTAGCAGAAGGCCCGAGGTGACCCTGACCTTGGAGGCGCGCCTGAGTAAGGTTAGCGAGATTGACGGGTTTCCACGGCTGCGCTCCCCGATTCGGGAAGCCTCTTCCACCGCGGCCTCGCCCCTGGTTGACCCTGAAGATCTCAGCGGGCAAGAGAAGGCGTAGCCCTTGGTTTATTCGTTCATTTACTTACTCGCTGGCTCGCTCGCTCGCTCACTCCACTGGTTTATTACAACGGAAATTCCTCCTGCATTGTATTTATTGCCATAAAATGGACGCTTTTTTTTTTTTTTTAACTTCTCTGTGGTCTTGGACACAATTGTTCCCCAGCCCGATCCTGCTGACTTCGTTGGCTCAGCGACTCCCGTGCCACTCTCCTCCGAATCCTCCACCCTCCCTGGCTCTTCTCTTTTGGTGTTCTTCAAGGATTGCTTGATCCTTTGTCAGTTCTTAAAAAGGGATGGTTTGAAGGGCTTCATCACGCCTTTCTTGTTTCTCCCCTTAAGTAATTGCAACCACTGGCAACTGTCTTCACTAGATTTGAGCCTACCCTAAGCTTCCTAGTCAGCCAGCCTCCTTGATGCTGTCTTAGATTTTAGTTTCCCGCTTGTTCACCCTCCATCCTTCCTTGCTGTAGGTGCCATGGAGTCGGTTCCCACTCATAGCGACCATAGTACTACAGAGCGGAACACTGCCCGGTCCTGCACCATCCCCACCATTGTTCTTAGCCTTGAGCCGATTGTTGCAGCCAGTGTCCAATCCATCTTGTCCAGGGTCTTCCTCTTGTTTGCTGCCCCTTCAGGGACTGATTTCTCCTGACAACATGTCCAAAGTATGTGAGACACGAAGTCTCGCCATCCTTGCCTCCCAGGAACAGTCTGTCTGCACTTCTGAGATAGATTTGCTGGTTCTTTTGGCAGTCCGTGGTACTTTCAATACTCTTCACCAGCACCATAAATGCACCCGTTCTTCAGCCTTTCTTATTCAGTGGCATATGAAGCCCATTGAAAAGACCTTGGCTTGAGTCAGGTGCACCTAAGTCCTCAAAGTAACCTCCAACCTATGAACAAAGACAGATGTGAGTATAATATCCCTTAGAAACTGTCCGTGGCTCCCATCTCTCCACTAAGCACATCCAACTTCAATGAGCTCATTCTAGGAAACCTACACTGATTTGTCTGCATTGTATTGAAATCTCTCTTTAGGTGTTTGTACTGCCAATATGATTGAAACTCCTTCAGGGGCATCTCCCCCTTCTCATTCCCAGATGGGAGCACAGTACCTTATTAAATTTAATTCATGTACCCACTTAATTTTCCTAAGTATTCTTGGATACCCTAACAGCAGAATTGTGATATATTGGGCCAAACTGTGGCAAAGCCCCTTTAGAAAACCTTCTTATACAACAATCCCTTCTGGCTCTTATGTAACTGCCCTGGTGGTGCTATTGGGTAAGTATTGGACTGGTAACTGCAGGGTTGCCAGTCCAAAGCCACCCGCCACTCCACAGGCAAAAGATGAGGCAATGTGCCCTCGTGACGATTTACAGCCTCAGAAGCCCTTAAGTCAGAATCAACTTGATGGCAGTGGCTAGTAGGTTGTTTGGTAATTACGTGGGTATCTCTTGGCTGTGACTGTGAGTTCCTGGAGCATGGGACTGTGCCATTTCAGGATCCCCATTGCCCAGCAGAGAGCCTGGTACACATTGGATTCACAACAAATGCTTTTGAATTGGATGTAAGAATTAATGTCTACATCGTTGATTGAAACTCATAAGAAAAAAAAAGTCCTTGTTCTGAGGGGACTTTATACTGTAGCATTTGTACGAAAAACAAAAGGAAAATTAACTTCATTAAATATCTGTCCCATTGTCACTAGGTTGGTTCTAAATGATCGTGACCTAGAGGACAGAGCCGAACTGTTCCATGAGGCTTCAAAAGCTGTATATCTTGACTGAAGCAGACTGCCACCTCTTTCTCCTGGAAAAGCAGCTGGTGGACTTCGAACAGGTGCTGTGCACCTTGACCACTGTGCCATCGGCCCACTCTGCATACTCACAGAAAACGCACTGCCTTCAAGTTGGTCCGAACCCAGAGTGGCCCTATAGGACAGAGTAGGACTGCCCTGTGGGTTTCCGAGACTGGAGAAGTTGATGGGAATAGAAAGTCTCATCTTTCTCAGAGCAGCTGGTGACTGAACTGCTAACTCCATAGTTCACAGCCCAACACGTAACTCACTATGCCACCGGGGCTCCCTTATCATGTGTAGATGGCTCCCCTATTGTGTGTATAGGCCCCCAACAGTGTATATCACATAGCACCTCACATGATACCACGTATCCCCATGGCAGGTTGGGATTGGTATCTTTATTTCTGCAGATGGGGAAGCTGAGCCTCAGAGGAGTTAAGGAATATGAAAGATGCACAAAGCTCGACATTGTGTTCAGATTTAGAAACTGGCAGAGGCATTTTTATTGGATTTAAGAGAGTTGTAAACGTTTGTGGAAAATAGAAAACAAATTATGAAAGTCATCAGGGTCAGATGACACAGATTGAATTCTGGAGCCAGACAGTCTGGGTTCTGGTCCTCGTTTTGCTATTTCCAAACTGTACATGTGCTATTCCCCTCTTCTACCATTCTTTTCGCAGTACAATGTTTTGTTCATGGTGGTCTCCCTGGCCCTGGAACATGATCTGACACATAGTTTATGCTTGATGAATATGTATTGGTTGAGTCTGGAGTTTGTGTAGATCTTGGAGAACAAAGATAAAAAGATAGGAAAAATGATTTTGAAAACAGCAGTATGCTCATTATACACTTAGTTATATTCAAAATGATTAAAATAGGAACAACGGCAGTTCTCACAGCTTGAAAAGAAAAACAACAAAAACCAACTCACTGCCATCAAGTCGATTCCAACTCACAGGAACCCTACAGGACAGAGTGGAACTGCCCCGAGGGTTTCGGAGACTGCAGATCTTTATAGGAACAGAAAGTCTCATCTGTTTCTCTCCAAGCAGCTGGGGGATTTGAACAACTTCGCCCCATACATAGCAGCCCTTGTTGAGAAGGGAGTTATGATACAGAAAAAGGGAAAACTTCAAAGAATTCCGCCCTGTTGCATTAGTTTAAGAACTCATGATATTTAATAAAATGTAGGTAAATATACAAATAGTTATAGGTGTGTGAATTCCATTTTCTATTAAATAGAGCCAGGACTCCTTGGAGAAAGGACAAATTCAGGGCTGAAGCCTAGAATCAACAGCTTGGAATATCTTGTGTCAAGAAATAAGAAATATTTCACAGAATAATGGGAACATGTCAAAATTATTTAATAATTATAAAGCCCCCCCCCCCAGTGCTTGATTCCTAATTAGAATTCTTTGTGTAAGTTATTTTTATCTTTAGAACTTCTCACTAGTTTATAAAACCACTTTCATAAACCTAGAAGTTTGCACATCAGCTACGGATGACAGTGGAAGTCCAAAACCCATTTGCAGGGTCCCCACTGGAAGTAAGGCTCTGGTGAACCCCCTTCTGATGCTCTTCCAGGGATGTAAATAGGCTAAGTATCAGACAACGAGCACTGTAAAGTCCTCAGATGGCGTTTGCTTGAAATGTAACACCTTGTCATTTATCTCCCCTTGGACCCATTTGAATATTTTCTGCTTTTTTTTCAGTTGAGGTTTTTCTGTTTTGTCATTGTCATTGGTTTCACATTTGTTTGTTTGCTTCCTGTTTGTAATTTGCATGATTTTCTGTACATGAAATCCAGGATAGGTAAATCTATAGAGGTAATAACGACTAAAAATTACCCAGAGACATGGCTGGAGAGGTTGGGAGTCAATGAAAGCTAACAACAAGTAAGAGAAGATGATGTTCTGAAATTGATTGTTATGATGATTATACAATTCTTCTTACTATGATTGAATTTTAAAGTGTATATGTGACATATATGCAGAACAAAAATTCAAATCATTGTGAATGAGGGGGAGTGCTGATTGGGGACCCAAGACTCATCTGTAGGCAACTGGGCATCCCCTTACAGAAGGGTCGCGGAGAGGAGATGAGCCAGTCAGGGTGCAGTGTAGCAACGGTGAAACACAACTTCCATCTAGTTCCTAAATGCTTCCTCACCCCCCCGCCATTATCAGGATCCCAATTCTACTTTACAAATCTGGCTAGACCAGAGGATGTACACTGGTACAGACAGGAACTGGAAACACAGGGAATCCAGGACAGATGATCCCTTGAGGACCAGTGGTGAGAGTGGTGATACTGGGAGGGTGGAGGGTGGGTAGGGTGGGAAGGGGGAACAGATTACAAGGATCTACATATAACCTCCTCCCTGGGGATGGACAACAGAAAAGTGGGTGAAGGGAGATGTGGGACAGTGTAAGATATGACAAAATAATAATTTATAAATTATCAAGGGTTCATGAGGGAGGGGAGAAGGGGAGGGAGGGAAGAAAATGAGGAGCTGATATTAAGGGCTCAAGTAGAAAGCAAATGTTTTGAGAATTATGATGGCAACAAATGTACGAATGTGCTTGACATAATGGATGTATATATGGATTGTACGAGCCCCCAATAAAATGATTTTTTTTTAAAGTTTGCACTTTTAATAGGAAAAGACAGACTTGTAACAAAACAATTTCACAACGGAGTATCCTTTTACATTAGAGAGGGAGAAAGTTTTTGTAAAAGCAAATGGTCACTTCTGTAGAATTATCTTTGCCCCTACTAGTTAATCAGCTAAGCATATGCTCATTGTTTAATTTTCTAAGTTATACATTCTTCATTAAAACCACAGTTTAGAATTTTTATAGCATGTTGTTAATTGCCATTGAAATGGTTCCGACTCGTAGCATCCT